TGAAGAGAGTTGCATTCCTATTGAAACCCCATTGCTCCACAGGCTTCAAGGGAGCATCCATTAAACCCAGGTAGAGGTAGGCCAAGCACAGTGATCAGTAGTTAAGATACTGCAGCTTAAGAACTACACTCAGAGCAGCACTTTGGCTGTGGGAACTTTCACATGAACTGACTTGAAAACCAACGGACCAGAAACCTACTATGCTTTTGGTGAGATTATGTCAGTGCTGTGACCATCCTGAAATGCCAAAGCTCACCACCTCCACTACCCAACATTCGTAGTAAGACACTGTGACATTGGTTTAGATGTTGAGATTGATAACACACCATACCAACAGAGGACGAAAATCCTACTATCCACTTACTGAGACTCTCCGGCACAGCAGGATCCAGAGTGAGCTGAGAAATCACTTGACTGCTTTGGCTTTTGCTGCTCTTGGGTGAGGCTCGGGGGGAAATGTTCCTGCATGCAAGCCACAGTCTATGTGACTTGAGCTTCCTACTGGGGAAGCTTTTATCAGCTTGCTGGGTTCCACCTGAAGCAGAACACAGCCTGGGGAGGGTGGGGGGCCGAGGGGTGGGATAATGAAGCTTGAACGCTGTCTGCAATCAAACACCAAAATGCGAGGGGAGCCTTTATTACACTCCATGTGACAAGATGAGGTGTTCTAAGAATTTAAAACTTCAAGACAGTAAAAGTAAAGTAAAGGTGTGTGGGTTGTGTTGATTGAACATTTAGGAAACATTTGGTACATCAGATGCCGGACACCTGCCGCCAGCGCTGACTCAGGCGGGAATAGGTGTTGATTCCTGATTGGCTAGCTGCTTCCCGCTTGCTCACGTCGCCCACCCATGAACTGCTGATAACTGAATGTGGTTTTGCCTTTAAAACCCCCCTCCCCGGCTACTGCAACTCACTGCTATCTTCTCCCGACTTGCTCTGTGAGAAAGGCAGTCTCCAGCTGGTTAATATAGACTCCTAATTTGACCTCACAGTCTCGCTGTGTTTTAATCGGTGCACCCCATAGCATCCATGGGCTGTAACCCTGACTGAGAGTAGACTATGGTTGTTTAACCTCTAAGGCAATCTAGGTCTGTAAACTATACACCAGTGGGCAGGGGGTTGCAGAAACTGTAAAGTCACTCAAAAGGGTCAAATGTGGCTGTGGAGGCTAAGGAGCAAGGGTCTCCCAAGACCAAACCAGAGGCCACAGAGGGCAATGCATGAGGGAGTTTCTCCCAGAAAGTGGACACCCAGCTTCACCAAGAACCTCACTCCTGCCAGGGCAAGGTATCTCTGCAGTGTCCACTCAGCAGATTTTCATCATGGCGTGGACCTGTGCTGCCCAAGAGTCTTTTATTTTAGTTTTCATTCTCTCCCTTCTCGTAGTAACAGATCCTTCCCCTGAGTTGCACCTGGGCACATCTCCAGATCCCTGGCTGGAGATACCAAGTCCCAGCCTTCCTTGAAGCAGGGTCTAGCTGTGCAGTGTTACTCCTGAGTGGCCTGTAGATGGAAGTAATGGCTGAAACTTCCTTAAAAGGAATCATCTTGCTCCCAACTTCCTCTCCTTTCACAGGCTGGAAAGTTGGGGCATCTCTGAGCACCTGATAAACAACTCCTTGGAAACAGGAGAAAAAGAAGGTAGACAAATCCAGAAACAGAGCTTCCCTGCTGCCTAGAATGTTGCAAATGCTTCTGCAGCACGATGTGCGGAAGGAACAGCTTCCATCGTACACTGGCTCTCTGTTACAGAACCTGGACCATTTTCTAGACTTAGAAAAGGAGAACGAACATATTGAGAACTTATGCCTTTTTTAGACCTTTATAGCCTTAAAATGTCCGCTCTTTGTTCCTTTTGGGTTTCACTTTTAACAAGAAGTATAAATAAGGAACTTCAAATGGAACTACATTGTAAACAAGTAAGACCCTAAAACTATATGACCTCATGAATTCAGTGTGCTGCTTCTCTTTTCCAACAATCAGTCCAACCCACATAGCTGTATACGCTCTGTGGGCCTGAGTGGGAGCAGTTAGTTAACATAAATGTGCAAGTATCAAGTTGATATATGAAAACTCAGATTACTATAGGGATATCAACTTTGCTTTACTCTAACATATAAGAAAGGGCCTCAAAAAGTTCATGGAAAAATGGCATTAGATGTCTATTTTGGGGGCCGGTGCCATGGCTCACTTGGTTAATCCTCCACCTGCGGCGCCAGCATCCCATATGGGCACTGAGTTCTAGTCCCGGTTGCTCCTCTTCCAGTCCAGCTCTCTGTTGTGGCCTGGGAAAGCAGTGGAGGATGGCCCAAGTGCTTGGGCCCTGCACCCACATGGGAGACCAGAAAGAAGCACCTGGCTCCTGATTTCAGATCAGAGCAGCTCCAGCCATAGCGCCCATTTGGGGAGTGCTCCAACAGAAGGAAGACCTTTCTCTCTGTCTCTCTCTCTGTCTATAACTCTACCTGTCAAATAAATTTTTTAAAAAAAGATATCTATTTTGGTGCAAAAAAGTTTGAAATCCATGCATACAAGGGACCTTCAAAAATTCATGGAAAATGCATACTATGAAAAAAAATGCATGATTTCAAAATCTTTTGCACCAAAATAAACATCTTTTCTTCCATTTTCCATGAACTTCTTTATGTACCATTGCACATACTTCCATGTTCCATCTACTCTCTTTAATCAGCTAATCATACATAATTGGATAGATTGCATCCCACACAATGTGATGCAAAGACGATGATCTTGTCTGATTCTGTTTCTACTGTCTGCTTTAGGAGAGTTCACTGTGTTGCTAAGACAACAAGGATGCTGCCACAGAAAACTGGGACTGAAGTCAAGGCACGGTAGCTGCCTCAAAGGATGTCAGAAATAGTGTGTTCAAGGCCTGTTCCACACCAAAACCTCTAACACTTGAAGTAGGAAAAAAAAATGATCATCCCTAACACCTCCATACCCCTCCACAGGAGCCTGCCCTCTCAGTCACATTCTAAAATTAAGAAGGCTGCGGCAGGCACCTGGTGCAGCAGATAAGACGCTGCTTGGGCTGCCTGCTTCCCATACTGAAGTGGCTGGGTTGGAGTCCTGGCTCCACTCCCAATCCCAGCTTCTTGCTACTGCACAGCCTGGGAGGCAGCAGTGAAGGATGAATTAATTGGGGTCCCTATCACTCTCATGGGAGGCCCAGATTGGGTTCCTGCCTCCTGTCCCTCTCCCAGGCATGGATGGTACAGGCCTTTACAGAGTGAACCAGAGAGTGGAGATTCCTGTCTGTCTGTTTCTCTCTGCCTTTCAAATAAATTAAATAAACTAAGAAGGCATTAGTATATGAATAAAAAAGGCAGGGAACTCTCATACCACTAATATGTACTGCTTTTAGAATCCTAAGGAAATAACTGAGGGGAACTTGTCCTTCAACTCCAATTTGCCATTTTTCTAATAGAAGCATGTCTGAAGACTATCAGAAGAAAGCAAGAAGCAATTATGTGTTACTTGTTTCTGCTACTGAAAATGCACTCTTACTTAAATAAACGTTTGATTCTACATGCTAAATAAGTAAGTTTGGTATTCACGGGGCCCCGACCGGTATTTGCGTTGTGTTTATGAACAGGTGCACAGAAGTGTGATCTCCTTGATAGACTTGTGACAGAGACACAAAAGGCTCACCGGCAGCACTGATGTCAGCCAGGCCGCCTCTCCAGGCTGGTCCAGGCAGGTGGAGCCACTGCTGCGGTCTTCCTGTTTTAATACCCCTAACATCAAGGCCAGGACACCAAAAAGAAAAACAAAATGCTTGAACTGATTTTGAGGTTTTTTTCCTGACCTAAAATTAAGAGAGATGGAAACAGCACTGAACTAGGAGTGTCCTTCACAACATGTATTTTGTGCTCTGGCTCGGGGATAAGCATCCACCAACAATCACAGGAACAGGTGAAGAAAGGGGCCTAGGGCTCAGAGCTGCGGCCAGCCCTTTTGTGTGCATGCTTTAAATATTTATTTATTTATTTATTTGAAAGGCAGTTACAGAAAGAAAGAGAGAGGAGATTCATCTTCCATTGCTGGGTCAGTCCCCAACAGCCACAATGGCCAGGGCTGGGCTAAGCCAAAGCCAGGAGCCTGAAATTTCATCCAGGTCTCCCACGTGGGTGGCAGGAGCCCAAGTACTCTGGCCATCTTCTCATGCCTTTCCAGGTGCATTAGCAGGGAGCTGGATTGGAAGTGGAGCAACTAGGACATAAACAGGTGCTCGTGTCAGATACCAGCATCAGAGGTGGCAGCTTAATCCACTACGCCACAACTCTGGCCCCAAGGGGCAGGCCTTCTTAAGAACCACCTCCCTCTTTTAAATTTTATGTGATTTTATTTATTTGAAAGGCAGAGAGAGAGATCGATTGATCCCGTCCACTGGTTCACTTCCCAAATGTCTACCAACAACCAGGGCTACCCCAGGCTGAAGCCAGGGGCCTGGAATACGAGTCAGGTGACCCCTGTGAGTAGCAGGGCCCCAAGTACTGGAGCCATCACCTGCTGCCTGCCAGGGTGTGCATTGTTATCAAGAAGCTGGAATCAGGAGTAGAGCCAGGACTCAACACCACACACTCTGATATGGGATGAGGGAGTCTCAAACAGGGTGTGGACTGTTGTGCCAAATGCCCGCCCCCATTCTCAGTTCTTAAGACGTGATCTAAGGAAAAGCTCTGGATTGGCAAAGGCAGGTGCTGGTAGATGCATTTCCCCAGCCTTTGAGGGTCCCGTGCTTATGAGACACAGAACTTCCTGGAGACCAAGTTACCAACACAGTATTCCTGTTTTCAAGCAGGAAGCAAAAGACTCTTTTTAATAATGGAACCTGAGGGTCATACAGTGAGGTCAAGAGTTCTGCGGGAATTCTCATTGTCAAGTAAAAGTTTAATCTAGCAGAATCAAATATAAACCACAAGGTTTTTTTTTTTTTAATCCTGGGTTCTAAGCATAAAAAAGGAAATAGAAAAGAACACAGACCACTCTATTTTAATATTTTAAGTAGCATAAATCATAATAGTTTGTATACTACACTATACAAAGAATATACTGTTACTTTCCAAAGAAATGAACTTCTTATTGGGTTTTCTGAAACAGTTACTCCATACAGCTCAGAACTTGACCCTTCAGCCATGGCGAGACACACAGAATACAAGCGATGAGGTTCCAAGGCTTCCACTGTGCCTGCTTCTGCTGCCACGGAGGGAGGAGCCTCTCGGAGACCTGTCGCGGCCCCCTCCGTCGCCTGCACCAGGAAACACGGGCTCTGCAGGTGGGCGTGTGCCAGCAAGTGCAGCTTCTGTGCTTTGTTCCCCGCGGGCCTGCTCCCCGTTACGAGAACTTGCGCTTCTTCATGGCTTCTGCCTTGACGGCCAGGCTCTTGGCACAGATGGTCAAGACCACAATGAGAACACCCACCACAAATGTCACCAGGGGCCAGAGGAAGCAGTGCAGGAGGACGATCTCATCGTGCGTGCGGTGCAGGAGCACGTCGTCTGGTCTGCAAGACAGTGGGAGGAGAGAGCGGTCACACGCTTTGATACAGCACTGAAAACTTACAACCTGCAGCCAGATTCGCTTTCCAGCCCCAAAAGGGAGACTCTTCATCGAAATCACAGATCTCACTCTGACTATAAATACTACATTTGGTGCTTTTCGCTCTTGAATCAAGTAATTGGTGCAAATGTGCAGATTATGTACAATATAATTTGCATGCTGCAAAATGTCAAAATTCTAACAACCTCATGCTGTTATATTCTCCTCCATTCAAGGTAGCTTATCATTTTCTACTTTCTCATCTTGCAGCATTCACTGGTCAAAGGACTTGAATCAGCCTATCAGTTATTGATGGGTAGACATTTGCCAACAAACCCAAACTAGACCTCAGCGCTTACATGAGGCCCAAATGATCTGAACTCAAAAAGAAAAGTCAGCTCAAGCCACTATTTGAATTGGTCAGAAAGACAGATGGTGTAGCCTTCAGGCCAACTCAGTTTTTTTATTAACAAGCAGACAATAGCTGGATTGAAAGCATGTTTTCATGTTTCTTCTTAAGCCACTGATCCTTTTCATGACAAATCTGGCAAAGTTTCAGCAATAAATTTTGATCTTGATCAATGTCAAATATTGACATAGAACCAGTATCTATTTTTCAATTCTGCATGGCCTCACGGACAGGAAGTGAAGAGGGAAGAGGTATGCCCCATAGGCCAAGGTCTCTCATCTTTGATGATTAGCAAGAGATCATGGCGCTTAGCTTTCCCATAAGAGGTTTCTATTTTGCAAGAAATTTCCATGATATCCGCAGGAAGGTTTGGTCTGCTACATGAGGGTAGCCATACTTCTTCCAGAAAAAGAAGAAAATAATGCAGAATAATCAGTCCAGTTGCCTGCAAGAACATCAAAGACTCCAGAGTCCACGGGCCCTGCATTTAACAGAGAAATGCATTCCTGAGGAGTGTCCATTAGTCATAGCTCTCAGAATTCAGAGTCTCTTTTCCCAGAAGACTGAAGAAAGATGCCGAGTATTTCTGTTGTGCCTCCAGTGGCACTATCATGTGGCATTAACAGCAAGAGTTTTGCAGACTGGCTTTGAAATTACCTAATCTTTGCATTTTTTAAATTCTGCACACAAAGTGAGATGTCTGTTGATACTTTATTTGACAGTATTTCAATTAAAATTTATATAGAGTGCAGAGTCATGGTAACAATTAGATAAAAATCACCCCAGCTTGCAGAAATTACCCCATTTTCTGAACACCTGTCTTCAAGACTTGGGCTACCATTAATTTATGTGTATATATGAATGCATATATCCATGTAAAGATTCATAGGTGTGGGGAGCAACTCGGACTAGACTAAGTTACTGGAATTAAGACTTATTCTATGCATCTGCTCTCCCACAATATGGCGCTGAGAAGGGAGTAACAGCTTCTACACAGCTGCCTCCAGTTCAACCAATAAACTGTAGGACCTGCTCCTGATTGGAGGAGAGCAGCGTACTTGGCGTGTGGGTAGCAGAGTTGGGATTGGTGGAAGAGGACTATAAAGGAGGAGAGAGACAACATGCACCAGGAACATCTATCTGAAGGAACACCTGTGCAGCCCCCGAGAGAGCCGGCCGGCGGTGTGCCGCTCCCCCGTGGAAGTGGGGAAAGTGGCAGGGGGCCCGCCCTTCCACGGAGGTGGAAGGGACAGTAGCCAACCCGGGAAGAACCAGCAGCAAACCCGGGAAGGGCCAAGCAGACAAAAGAACAGCGCAGGGTCCTGTGTCATTCCTCCACGAAGACAGGGAGCGACACATAGGGCCGTAGTTTTGTCTTTTCCTGTTTCTATACATTTAAGTGTTGCTAAAAGGCTGCTTGTGACTGGTGAAGGGGAGCCTGCCCCTACTGCAGCTTTATTCTCCACACGAATTTGCAAGCCTGTCATGCCCTGAAGTCTTAAAAATGGCAGAGGCCAAGGTCCAAAAACAGGGTACAAGAGTTACAGCCACATGTTAGTCTTTGAAATCCCTCTTCCACTCTGCTGTGAGTCTGCCCCCAGCCACAGGCGCTCTCACAGTGGCCAGAGGCCTCTCCCTAAGTGCATAGGGAAGGCAAGTGCTGTTTCTTTACTTCTGAGAAGATCTTTTCTACTCCTCCAGAACCTAGTGGTGCAAGGATGAGTTCCCCACTCTTCATCAAAAGGGGTGAATAACGCACAGATATTGTTAGTACCACTGAACTGTGCATTTCACAATAGTTAAAAAGGGGGCCTGCACTGTAGCATAGTGGGTAAAGCCACTGCCTGCAGTGCTGGCATCCCATATGGGCACCAGTTTGTGTCCCAGCTGCTCCTCTTCCCATCCAGCTCTCTACTATGGCCTGGGAAAGCAGTAGAAGATGGCCCAAGTCCTGGGGTCCCTGCACCTGCGTGGGAGACCTGGAAGAAAGTCCTGGCTCCTGGCTTCAGATAGGCTCAAATCCAGCTGTTGTAGCCATCTGGGGAGTGAACCAGCAGATGGAAGATATCTCTCTCTGCCTATGCCTCTCTGTAACTCTGCCTTTTAAATAAATAAATAAATCTTTTTTTAAAACAATTAGTTAAAATGTTGAAGAAAAAGTGGAGGAGAAATGGGTGGAATTTATATCACTATATATATTTTTTTATTTTGACAGGCAGAGTTAGACAGTGAGAGAGAGAGAAAGGTCTTCCTTCCATTGGCTCACCCCACAAATGGCTGCTAAGGCCGGCTTGCTGGGCTGATCCGAAGCTAGGAGCCAGGTGCTTCCTCCAGGTCTCCCATACGGGTGCAGGGCCCAAGCTCTTGGGCCATCCTCCACTGCCCTCCCGGGCCACAGCAGAGAGCTGGACTGGAAGAGGAGCAAATGGGACTAGAACCCGGTACCCATATGGGATGCCGGCGCACAGGCAGAGGATTAACCAAGTGAGCCACAGCGCCAGCCCTCCTTTTTTTTTTTAATTTTGACATTTATATCACTATTTATATAAATGCGCATGTCATTTTCATAAGGGATATAATTTTCTAGTAAAATACTTCAAGTGTGGATCCTCATTGGTATTCCTTCTCCAGTCACTATTACCGATGTTGAATAATTTACCACAATATTACACAACTGAGCCAGAAACTAGCCCAGAGGAGGGTGGATAGAAGCACCGTGCATATTTTCTGAAACACAGTTTGAAGAACATGAACAGAAAAAGGCGGCTAGTAAAATGGAGAGGAAGAGAGGAAATAATCACACGAAAAGCTCGACCTACATATTTGCTTAGAAACTTGTTGGCATTCCACCCCCTACAAAAACCTTTTGGCAAAATGTTCTTTTAATATTTCAAGTGACAAAACACCATTCACTTTGAGCTAGCCATGTTGAATTTGTAATCACTTCAAAAAATGTAGACATTTCTTTGCAAGCAATTTATGTCCATTTCATTTCATATCACTCTTAAGAAGTCCCAAAGTCACCTTAAATAGGAAAAAATTTTGTTCTGCATAATGCTTAGCTACCTTATGATTTACTAAGATTACTTCTAAATTAGTCCTTGTGAACTAAGTCTGCTCATTCAAATTGGGATTGCAGGGCCTTCATGGACGGCATCTCCTTACCTCAGTGTCCGTCAGTTTTACCAGGCAGGTGGCTTTTAGCTCATTTAACCGCAGATTACTTGCAAAGGTGTTTAAAAGGCTTAGAGATTCAGGTGTCCATAATAATATGGTGGCGACTGGGGCTGGCACTGTTGTCTAATGGGATAAGCTGCTGCCTGTGCCATAGGCATCCCATATGGGCGCTGGTATGAGTCTTGGCAGCTGTGGGCCGATCTGAAGCCTGGAGCTTCTTCCAGATCTCCCATGTGGGTGCAGGGGCTCAAGCACCTGGGCCATCTTTTGCTGCTTTCCCAGGTCATTGGCAGGGAGTGGGACTGGAAGTAGAGCAACCAGGACTCCAATACTCATACGGGATGCCGGCACCACAGGCGGAGGCTTAACCTACTAAGTGTTAAGTTAACCTACTACAGTGCTGGTCCCTTAACAGCATTTACTAAGTACTTAACTTCCAGCCTAGTCTGTAGTAGGACACTTAATCTCATTTGGTCCTTAAATAACCCTATACTCAAAAAATGTTTAACCTTCACTTGACAACTGAAGAAACTCACACAAAGCAAGTTTGTTCAAGATTACATGATTAAAATAGTACCACTAGGATGTGAAGCCATACCTGTATGGTTATAATACCTGTATTATTTACCCTTATGCCAGCTTTTCGCAAATTAGATCCAACTATGGTGTTTGTTCCAAGGCAGTTTCCTGGGTTGCAAGGTCTAGAAATCTGTCTTTCTGAGAAACTCTGGGGTGATTCTATATTTACTTGAGTTTAAGAAGCATTCCATAGTTCTAATAGTTTAAAGAAGACACAGAATGACACACAAAGTGACTTAACTGCTTGTTTGCAAAACCACCCAAATTAATACTTCTGTCCAGGTCATTGTCATGGCCTCCACAACCCTATGCAAACTGTGCACCGCATGAAGGTACCGTGGGATGAGCCAGGACGATAGTGGGGGTGGGAGGTAGACGGGAACGGGGTCGGGGTGGAAGAACAAGGAGCAGAAACACAGACCAGGGCTCTGGATTTGGTCAGAGTCCTTTGTTCTAATTTGCAGAAAGGTACCCTCTGGGCTAGCAGCAACACCAGTCAAAAAAGAGAAAAAGACAAATCGTCGGTGTATATCATCCTAAATATAGAAAATATATTTCCTTTGCCTTTGTCTCACCAAAGGGAATTCTGCCATGCCACAGTGCTTTTTCTGCTATGTAATAGAGGACAAAATGGTGACCTCTTTTTTATTTTTTTTCTAATGGGACGGGAAATTTCTTAACCTTAACTGGTTTATGTAAAAATCTGAATTGCATTACAATCGACTAGGACAGTAACTGCACCAACCAACTCAGGATGATCTACTTCAAAGAGCTTTCTCCACGAGATCCTACAGGAAATG